AATTTTGTAAATTTAACCTGTTCAATCTAGCATCAGTTAAGTGTCAAGACATGTAACAACATAATCTTTATGCTCAAACGGTTATGTAATAAATTCGACATAGATGTTGCGTCGTTACGAAATATATTCAAGAGACTTTCTATTTATAACAATATTATAAGGTTAAATTCACCAATGACCACCCAACTTTATAGTTGGTGTTACCATGGCCATCCGATTTTTTTTTCATCATAGTCACTCAATTTTATACTTAATGTCACAATTGCCACCAAACTTTATTTTATTTTACCATGATCACCTAACTTCTTTTTACTATTTTCATTAATTTTAAAATGAGTAAACAAGTAACTTTGCATTATATATATATATATATATATAAAAACTTATTTTAAAAATGTTACTTAAAAAATGAAATGAAAACTTATCTAAAAAAACGTTACTTAAAAAAATAAATTAAATTAAATACTTATTTAAAGAAAGGGTTTTAAAAATAAAATAAAAACTCATTTTCAAAAAGAATGTTTTAGAAATAAAATAAAAAATTATTTTAAAAAAAAAAAGCTACTTAGAAAAATAAAATAATATAAAAAATTATTTTTAAAAAAATTTTAAAATAAAAAAACTTTTTTTTAAAATTTATTTTATGTACAATGCAAAGTTACATTTTACCGTTTTTGAAATTAGTGAAAATTATGAAAATAAGTTGGGTGGACATAATGAAACGTTATATAAAATTGAGTGGGCACGATGATACTAGGTATAAAATTGGGTGACCTGATGTAACAAAATCAAATTGGGTGATCATGATGACGATGAATATAAAGTTGGGTTGCCATTGATTAATTTAACCCTAATGTTATATAACACCGTTTATACTAAAACATCAGCTTAGGTGACATGATGTGATATATTTAATGAAATGTATAATTAGGCAACTTATTAATTTATGAGTAATGCTATGACATCCTCCTCGCCTGGAGGGGTAGAGCCCGCGATTTTTTGGCTGTCAAACTGAGTGTACACCAAAGTGTAAACTCAGTCTTATTCTTAATTTATTTGTATTTCTCATTTAATGTTACCTTTATGTATGGGTGTTGGGTGAATCAATTCGAGTATTTCATTACTCGAAATCATACAATTATACTTCGAGTATTTTATAAATGAAACTATTCGAATCCTTGTAATTGTTAGAACCAAACCCAAATTCAATCAATTAGTTTTGGTTGTGTTCTAACCATAATATTTTTTTATATGCATTTAATAAACATTTTCTCATAGGCCATTTCGATAAGTATATCTAACATGCCGTTTCTAAATAATATTTGTGCAAAGAAAAAACCTAGCCAAGAAATTTTCAAGAAGTTAAAGGCCTGTTCTCTTTACTTTTTTCAAGCTGTGTTTTGTTTTTTATTTTTCAAAATAGTGAAAACGAATTCTCTTTCCTATTTTCGAAAACACGTTTTTGAAAACAAAAAATAAAATTTGTACTGAAAACACAAAACGTCACTTTTTTTTACGTTTTGGGCTTTTTCAGTACAAAATACGCCAAAATTTGGAAAACACTCAAAACCATCCCTTCCTTCTCTCTTCTTCCAATCCCAAAAAAAAAAAAAAAGGAAAACACCGAAAACGCCCAAACCATCTCTTCCTTCTCTCTTCTCAACGCCGGTGACCCACTAAAACACCGCAACCGCACGACAGAGGATATGTGCCAGTGCCTGCACGGGTGCGGGCGTCGAGAGGCGACGCTACTATGAACACAGCGTCTCGACCCATTCATCATGATGCTGCTGTGGTTTGGGCTCGTCTTTGCCTTCTCTCTCTTCGACGCCGAAGATCTATTGAAGAGACGACGTTGGCAGCAGCAAATAGATGCACAAATAGTGCAAGCAAATTGCGATTTGGGGATGGGATTTTTGTAATCAAATTCTAAGGTCGGTAATGGATTGTGGGTTATACTAATTTCGTGGCCAGGACTATGAAAGAATCAAGCAATACATTAATGATGATTGCAATTTTTTATTGAAAATATCTTTTACAGGTATGCTCGTTACCATTGTGTGTTATTCTATTATGTGTTAACAAAGTAAAATTGATTTCAAAATATTTATTAACATGAGATTAGTGCTATCATTCATTTGCAATTTGATTAGGTTTGATTATGGCTTGATACTAATTAATTATTGTCACAAGTTACGTGCAAGGACAAAATAAGGATTTGTCAAATATAATTTAGGTTATATTTTTTATATTTGAAAAAAAAATATTTCAAAATTCATCAACTTCAAAATTTATATATTATTTAATACTATATTAACATTAAACTATTAAAACTTATTGAATAATCAGATCTATGGAATGAAATATTATAAAAAAAGATTTGAATAATCAAATTTCTTAAATAAATTATTATTAAAAAAAATTCTCAAAATTTCAAAGTAAACGCGTTTTCTATTTTTATGTTTTCAGAATTAGTTTTTCAAAATGACAAAAAGAACGCATTTTCAGAAATTTCAAAATAGACACTAAAAACAAAAAAACACAAAATGAATTCAAAACTTAAAACACAAAACTGAAATACAAATAGAACAGCCCCCAAGAAATTCAACTATATGGCTCAAAATAGTGGTGACTAAAAATCACGAAAAGATGAGAAAATTAAAAATAAAAAAATTAAATTACAACTTGAGAAGAAATAATTTTTTGTTAATAAATTTTATTCAATCCATAAAATGAGGCAAGCTAGAGCCTATAATTTTTGCAGTCCACGTGTTGCAAAAATGAATATTATTGATTCATCAACTTATGTCACAACCCTAATTTCAATTTTTTTATTCATAGAAAGCCTAAATTGCAAAGATTAACATGTACTAACATTTGAAATGCAACAACCTGGTATCAAACGAGAGACAAAAAGTAAGAGCAAATTATGATTCTTAGGGTTAAAGTTTAGAGTTTTAGACAAATTACTACCTAAATCAGAATTTTTAAGTTTTGTATTTTTTTTACACAATATATAAATTGTAAAATATAAAAAAATTGGTTCCATTCGGTTCCTAATCGGTACCTAATGTTTTGGTTCATGAATCAAAAATTGACCTGGACTTAGTAAGTTTTTCGATTCTCGATTTTAATTTTTTTTTTTTTTGGAATCAAACTGGAATCTCCGGTTCCGATTCGAGATGATTGATTTCGATTAAAATGTTTAGGCCTAGTCACATTTTTAACATTAATGATGCTGAATAGCATCACTCCTCTATTTATACAAATCATCTTATGTGTGATGACTGGTGAGTAATTCCCCTTGTATAAGGGAATTGCTCGTAGAAGCCATACATCGCAGCACCTGCATGACTGCTTTTTTTTATTTATTGTTATCATTTGCCAACGTTTAACTGCCAAGTGTGCATCCGTAGAAAATTTGTCAAACTTTTTCTGTACACGTAGTATCACTCGTGTGATACGGATCATCTTTGAATTTAGAGAGAATTTTCTCTTCAACAATGATCTCTATTTTGATTCTTCATTTTATTTTTTTATATGTCAATTATCAATTAATTTAAAAAGTTAGAGCACAAAATTTTTTGAACCTTATATTTAAGCATTAACTCTCTAAAATAAAAATGTATCTTGTACCTGATATCATTATCTAAAGATATTAGCCTCTATTTAACCTTCATATCTCAAAACTCACTTTTTCTCCAAATGCATTTTTAGTAATATATTTTATGGTATCCACATTTTTTATCAACTTTTCAATCACACATTTTACCAATTTTTATTAAAAATCTAATTTTTATCCACAGAGCTAAGTATCCCAACTTCAAAAGGTTGAGATATAGGTGTCACACTTGTGAGAAGTTGAAAACCAACCGTGTAGTTTATTTTAGAAAAATGTACCATGCCCAGGGAGGTTAAAATCATATTTTTAGTAAATTTTGATAAAAATTAATAAAATGTGTGGTTAAATATGTTTGATAAAAATTATACTTCCCATGTCCCATTTATACATGCTGGTTTTGTTGTTTACATGGATTAAGAAATTTTATTTAATGTTATCGAAAAAAATAATTTTTGCCAAAAACTTTTATAATTTACTTTTATTTAATTATCGACAGCTAATAGTAACTTATTGTTGAAAGTAATCGAGAAATTGGATGATTTAATTTTCAATTCTCACATTTATAAATTATTTTGATAAGAATCTTTAGGAATCATAATTGAACTTTTGAAACAATTTAATTTTCATACAATTTCAAGAATAAGCGAGGAAAGTTGGTTATAATCAGATAAATTAAATAAAAGTATATTAGTAAACGAATAAAATAAAATATTCTCAACAAAGAAATACGATTATACAGCTGGGAGAACAAGGAAAGTGAGTTTATGGGTGTGTTTGAGCCATATTATTTTATAAGAATGTATGGAAAATATTATTTTATTGAAAAATGTGTGATTGAAAATGAATAGAAGAATGAAAATGAAAATTTTAATATATACCGAACAAGAGTTATATAAATGAAATGTGAGGAGTATATATAACCTCTCACACACACTATTCCTCACTGCACCTACACATATATAGTCCTTGTTTTAGCCTGATTTTGTAAGAAGAATGTATTTATGAATAATAATTTTTGAAAAATGTGTGGTTAAAAAATAATAATTATATTTTAAAATTTATATGTAATATTATTTTATCGAAGAATACATCGTTAAAAAGAATTTTGAAAATATAAATCTCAAACAACCAATAGCAGCACAGAGACACAAAGGCGGACGCACAAAAGACATCGCTGTACTACGTCCGTTCTTACACACACAATACGTGTTTTCTCTCTCGTCTCAAATAACCCCATTTGCTCGAAAACACCATTCCTAAACCACGTAAACTGGTCCTCTACCCCCACTTTCAGGGCCCTTTAGGCCAGTTCATTCACATCCTGGAAAGACAAATTCATTCTTTGTGGTGGTTATTTTGTTGAAAAACGTATTCTTCAATGTCAACGCACTCTCTGCCATTAGGTGGGAATGGAGGAGAATTCCAGGGGCCCTTAGATGGCACCAATTTGCCTGGGGATACCTCCCTTGTTCTCACCTCGGATCCCAAGCCCAGACTGCGCTGGACTGCTGAGCTCCATGAAAGATTTGAGGATGCTGTCACTCAGCTTGGTGGCCCTGATAGTGAGCTTCCATTCCCTTTTCCTCTCTCTATGTATATAACAATATAGTTATGAGTTCTTTGGGCACCGTCTTCTTACATCCTGGTTTAAAGGATGAGTTCTAACCATTGAGTATATGCACATGCTTTCAATTCATCTCTTTCAAGTTGAATGTGTGGGTTGACTTTTGGGTTCATGGAACTTCAATTTGTAAGTGATGTTCTGGAGTAGTATTTGATTTGTTGGGACTGGAAATACTGGCTGAGTATGAAATTTACAGGAAAATTTGAACTGTTTGAGAGCTTGTTTGTCAGATTTTTTCAAATGGAAAATGAATTTTTGGATAGGGAAAATTTTTGGTCCGTATATGGTTGAAAAATATTTTTTTTGTTAAAAACCTATTCTTGAAATTTTTTTTTTTTTTGGGTTCTGAAATAAAATCAAGGAATTTAGTTTCAAGATACAGAAAACAATTTTAAAGAATTTGTGGGTTTTTGATGGGGATGGTGAATTTAACAGAAATGTTTGTTTGCAAATGATTTTTGCTTCTGCAAATGTGTGTTAGAAATTTTTTTTGTTGCTATAGGCTAATTAATTGGATTTGACTTTTTGGTGCAATTAATAGGTATTGAATTGATTCTACTCAACTCCACTAAACTCAATTATGATCAACCATGTGCTTTTCTATTTTTCTTTAATTTTAATATAGGTAAAAACAGACTCTATTGTAATTTTTGTTATTATAATAAAGATGAGAGCTTTTGATTTTTTATTTTTCAAATTGTTTTTTCAATTATGGTGTGTATACCATGATTTTTGATAATCAGTCATTATTTCAGGCTAATATCACATGGTTCCTATTAAAATTTTAGTTATATCATCTTGATTTGATATGTTCACGTCCAGTTATCTTCTCCGCAGGAAACATGTTCGTCTATCATGATGATTTTCATTTTTTATTTTCATGTGATCTCATACTAAGTAGATGCAGTTGTATATTAAAATCTATTGGTGGATTATTAATCAAATTCATAAAATTTTCAATCTTAAAGTTTGAAGTTATAATGCATCCTGCACTACTCTTTATCTACAGCTCTGTACTTCAAATATTTGTTTATACATTGCTGGGGGGAATAAATTGTGTAAATGTTGTCACCATAAGCCTCACGTGTAAGCAATAATAATTTCAATCAACATTGTGAAATTTGCTCAAGTTTCGTTAATAGCACGTGAGAGTTAATATTTTACTTACCCGAGTACCGTTAAAACACGTGGAACAGTGTCCTACTTCGTTATCCAATGCTTCCCAGAATTCCCTGAAATCTAGTCTGGAAGAGATTTGTGGATGAAAAAGATTGTTTATATGAATCTTGGTTTTACATTTTTGTTCATTCATCTTCTGGGTATTATTCCAGGACCATTCTCTGGAGGTTCCAATATAGCTATTTTTATTTTGTTTTTCTTTTGGATTAATGAGCTAATTTAACGTTCTTTCCGGATTTGCAATGCAGAAGCAACACCAAAGATGATTATGAGAACAATGGGTGTAAAAGGCTTGACTTTGTATCACCTCAAGTCACATCTTCAGGTCTGCTATTTCACCAATCATCGATCCTCCCTGATAATCTAATCAAATCCCCAAGAATGATAGAAAAAATGAGCTTCTCTTTTCTATTTGATTCTTGAAAATATGGCTTACTTTATACACAAGTGTAATTACTCTGTATTTAATATTTCAGAAGTACCGTTTGGGCAAGCAAGCAAACAAGGAGGTAAATGATAACTTGAAAGAAGGTACTCACAGAATCTCTCTGAGTACTGACCCTTTTTCATGTTCCCTGCATATACATAATGTATTTGTGGTTCAGCATTTTTACTTTGTTGAACTGGTAGATATATGAATAAATTAAGCTTATCCAGAGTGTAAAATCATTAAAATTAACGTAAATGATGCTACCAGAGAATCCTTCATAAATATCTTCTTCAAAGTTTGGACTGATGTCCGTAAGTTAGAATTGCCAGAGGCCTTGGACCTAAGGGTTTTTAGAATGTGTGTAAGATGAAAATTGAATGCTGGGTATAAATTTTTCGTGGGCAGCAAAAATTTATTTTCTCGATGACATAGAAAAGACAGTTGAATGGATTGAAGAAGAATTAAATCGAAAAGCAAAAAAGGTAATAGTGCAGGTGTGGCGTCCGAGCTCCGATTTGGGCCCATAATACCATTTCGGAAAGAGAATGACGAGACAAGTAGAACTTACCGCTTTTCCATGACATGCGATGGATTTTAGCCATCCGAGTTCATTTAGGAGTAGAAAATTGCTTTTAAAGTTTTAGTGCTAGTTTTGTCATTTTAGTTTATTTCAAATTCTTTGCATTTTTAGCTTGTTTAAACTAGGTTTTCATGTAAACCCTTATAAATCAAGGGTTAAGTAATAGTTTTTGATCATCTGACATTAATAAAATTTTGCGAGAGTATAATTTGGCGGATTCCAAAAATTGTGTTATTAGGTTTCCGTTTGAATTCCTTGTTTCGCGCCGCGTCACTCGACCATCTGGATGAACTTGACTCCACTGTCTTGGGAAACTGTAGTCTGATCGTTTTTAGAGTTGATATATGGGGGACATGAGAATGCAGGGGAATTAATGCTTCATGGGAGGTTTTTATTTACTGTCCGTGTGAATCTTTTTATTTCTATTTGATTGCAGCATCTTGCGTTGCTGAAAATCAGGATATGGGTTCATCCATGTCAACTTCATCAAGAATGATGTCACAAGATATAAACGAGTATATCTATTTCTCAGCAATTTCTTAACCAACACTTGGCATTCTTTCCATATGAAATTTATTGTTTTTCATGTTGTTACCAGTGGGTACCAGGTTACTGAGGCTTTGCAAGTTCAGATGGAAGTTCAAATAAGACTGCATGAGCAGCTGGAGGTAGGATTCTCTCTCCTTTGGTAATCATTTGATTGGTGATATTCCCAATGATTTGTGGTCGTTAATTTTGTTGGTAGACTTTACTTTGACTTGTTAGATTAGGTAATTTTCTCTTTTATACTGTGGGCAGAAGTTTTACCCTCATATTTCAGATAACTCTAGCTAAGATAAATCTAAATTTACTGATACCATTAAATTTTCAAACTTAAGGCTAAACCAAGGAAATAAGTTAATTATAAGAATACCTTTAACAAAAAGGAAACAAAATAAAAGGTAATGGAGTATAAAGTTTGGAATCCCGGTCTTTTACAAACACGTGACTTGGCTGGGCAAGTGATGTAGATCGAATCTACGAACACACTAACAAACGGGTTGCACCTGAAGAAAACAAACGTTTTTCTTATTTCATGAACGACCAAAAACCCTACAAGATGTTTTAGAGTCTTAAATATTAAAAGGACAGATAACCTACTGGGCTACAAAGCAAAATAAATAAATACTGAAAATAATGAATTAAGAAGCATTAAAAGCCGTTTTAAATTAGCAAACGAATTCAAATGTCCAAAATCCCTCATACATCACGGCAAAACAGTGAATTCAATGAGAATCGTCGCGAGGTTTCCGGAATGGGGTCATGGGCCCAAAACGGACACTGTATGTAAAAGTTACGCCATTTTCTTTAAACGCCGAAGTGCCTGTTCCTCCTCACTAACCTCATCAGCAAGTCTGCTTCTGGATTTGAATGACAGACTAATTACTTCAAAACTGGGGTCAGGACGATAGAGCACATCATTTTCACCTGGCTGGGAAGATTCACATTCTTATGATGCATGTTAGTAGAAAGCTTTTTAATCAACATTACTCAATTCAATCTTTCGCCTAATATCAGCATGAGTGTTTTGAATATGTTGGGCATAAGATTCCGTAGACTGAGACGAGCAAGGACTGCTGGGTATAACAGGTATAATGGATTTCTCAATAAAAATATAAATGGCTTCAGTAGGAGTAAAAGATGGAGGGTCATACTTCCGACACCAGTGCAGGAGGTATCACATGCTACCTTTAAGCTTAGAAAAGTCGGAAGAATCATAGACATTGTCAAGTAACAGATTTCATCTTGTTTGATTGTTTCTGACAACAAATTGAGTGTTTTGTTTACCTGCAATTTCGATGTTTGATTAAAGCATATATCATATCATAAATGAAATCAAAAGTTTTATCACTTGCAATTAAATTCTCTTTTTGTTCCATAAATTTTCAAATATGATTACCAAATTATGATACAAAAGGGTTTCTTGTTCCAAATTCGGTACAAAACAGGTTCAGCGTTGTCTCCAGCTCCGAATTGAAGCACAAGCCAAGTATCTTCAGTCAATCCTCGAGAAAGCTTGTAAAGCTCTTGATGATCACGCTGTGGCCTCTGCTGGATTAGAAGCTGCTGGGAAAGAGCTATCAAAGCTGGCAATCAAAGTTAATGACTGCAATGGCATGACAGCAGTCGTCCCTCCTGTATCAGAGGTTTTCATGTTAACGGAGAAAAAAATTGATTCCAATATGCCTGCTCAACTAAGAGTCTTCTCTAATGATAGCAGTTTGATCTCGAATGGATGTCCAGTTTCTCCTACAGTTTCCGGTTCACAGGGTGCTGATGCTGCTGCACCGAGGAAAAGACCACGACCTATGTTTAGTAATGGGGATGTGGTGCCTTTTGACAACAGCACAAGGCCGGTGGAATGGTCGATGTCAAATATTGGATGAATCGCACAGTATAGTTTAGTTTCAGTACGAGATCTAGTTCCATTTTCTTTACTCTTCCTCTTTCGGATCAGTGGTTTGTACATTCTGCAAACAGTTTAACTGGGAACACCCTTTTGTGAATTCAATCAAACCGTTTCTTAATCTATTTGTACATTCTGATGTTGACAATGTGCACTCGGTTTACAAGCATCAAGGGCAATTCCCAGAATGCATGTGCTAGAAATCTAAATACCACCACCAAGATATGTTCTACCTGTGAGCCATTTTATTTCAAATTACTCCAAAACAACAATGTCCGGTTTAGGCATGCTAATGCGCCGAGTCGAGCTCAGCTCATGTCCAAAAGACTCGCCGGGTTCAGCCTAATGGCTCATGGGTCAAGCCGAGTGGGTCCACGAGTCACTCGTTGTTTTTTAAAGAACTTTTTGTGACCATCCTCCTTTTTCGAGTTAGGAATTGACTATTTTTAATGTAGGTTGTACACAAATAAGTTATTTTGTGTACAAATTTTCGACAAAGGGAGAAATATTAAAGAAAATTAACGTAAACAAAACTTACAAATTATGACAAACTTAGATCTAGAAGATCATCAGCTCTAAATTAAACTTATGATCCATTATAGAAGCCAATGAAAACGACATAGACAAATTCTCTTTATATTTTTCAAACTTAAGTTCCATCGCTACTAAGATATCAAATAATCAGCAATATTATATTTTATACATTCGGAAAATTTTAGCAATATGATAAAAATGGATAAATATAAACTAGAACATAAAACTTTTAAAAAAATTCTTGACATTAAATGAAATTTCGGAATCATGTTATTGTAAATCAGATTAATTACTTTTTAGTACCCAATTCCCATTGATCAATGGTTACTGAACTTTGTTATGGTTACTACTTGCTCATCGATCTTTAAAAAGCTACCTGTTGTTTACTGAACTTTACTATCTGTTACTATTTGCTCACTGAAATTTACTATCTGTTACTACTTGCTCACTGAAATTTAAAAATTTACTCGTTGCTCACTTAAATTTGAACAAAGTTACTCATTGCTCATTAAACTTTGCTATATGTAGCAATTATGGAAATGATACGGGTGATTAATGGGTAACTATATTCAAATTTAGGTGAGTAATTAGTAACTTTTTAAATCTCAATAAGCAAGTAGTAACATATAAGTAAATTTTAGTGACCGAAGAGTAATCTTTTGAATTTCGATGAAGATTTAGTAACGTATAACAAGTTAGTGACCATTGATTGAATTAATTCTTCTTTTTTCGTTTCTTTTCCTCTGTGTCTGTTGTATAAACTGAATCAGAAAGCTATTTTTTTTTCAGGTCTCTCACACTCAAAGCCATGAAAGATTCACAAGGTAAGTTTTTGTTATTTCTGCTGAACAGAAATTCCATATGTTGTTGGTTCTTTTGTCTTCTTTGGTACTGGAAATTTAACGACGAAGAAATTTCATTCCATTTTGTATTCATTTAACTGTCGTCCACTGTCCACACATCGATTTCACTTTTTGCTCAAATATTTGACATGTAAGCAATTTTTATAATAGCGTGTAATCATTTAAATCTTGCAGATTGTATAATGCTTTGGTGGTTAATGCATTTGAACTATTGTGTGATGCAATTTTAGGAATCTTTACCTCACAATTCCATTAGTTTCCAATTGGATTCTGAAATCATTTTCCTAATCTTTTATAATTTTTTTCTTAAGTTGAGCCATTGGATTGTGGATTTATTATTATTAGTATTTAGTTTGGCAATTTCAATGTTCTAGCTAAAGCTATTAGGAATTTCTGTTGAATATAATGAAATTTGAGATGTTAAGGGGAATTTTCATTTTTCTACTTTTACTTCCATCTGAACGGCTATGTGGAATTCGGGGTTGGCTTTGCTCGTCACTAATCCAAAAGTTGGCTTCTATTCTTGCTGCCAGGTTGAATCTTCCTTAATAAAAATTTGAATTTGGATCTGTTTAATGCCGTATCCCAGTCCAGGATATTTTCTATAACATTTTTGGCGATAAGTTTCTCTCATCAACTGAAAATGAAGGCAGCATTTTAAATTCTCTTCATCGATTGACTTCTATTCAAAATGGTGCAGACAAATTGAATTGTATTGGTTTGTGACAACTTCGTTTGATATGTTAGTATATCCATTTCTTGTTTTCTTCTCTTGAGCAACTTTTTACTTGTGGCTCTGTTAGCTGTGGCATGAATTCACCAAGAAACACTGTGGTTTCATGATTTTCAAAACATTATTTTCATCACAAGATCATTGTTCTCTTATTACTACTAACATCAACTGCGAGCTACATTAAGTAATAAAGTTCTCTAACGTTAATTACCATGTAGCTGGTTGAAATTGTAGATTGTGAATTCTCTAATGTTAATACTAACACGAGTTCATTTTATCTTTAAGGGACATCTGAGCTATGCCCTATTCTGAAGTCATCCTCTAATAAAGTAGGAGTTACATTCTGCTGTCGTAGTTTGCCAAACAATTACAAGAGACTAGATGCCGAACTTGAAAGAAAAATGATGGAGATTACGAGAAATTCTCCAGGGAACAATAATTTCAGATCAATTGATAACATCATCCTGAAATTTCCTCAGATCAGAGAGGGATTGAAAGAGATCAGAGGTGTATTCGAAAAGTTTGGTGAGTCAGGACTACAGAGAAAGTTGTTGTCTTGTTCTTGAAGCTTTGCGCGAAACTTATGATTAGTTCTCTATCGTTCTTTCATTTGCCTTTATACAGATGAGCACTAAAATGGAATTATTGATCACGAGGGACTCAAGAAATGCTTGCATAAGTTGCAGTTTCATGTCATGAGGAGGAGATCGACGATCTTTTCCATTACTGTGAAATGAATGAAAATGAAGGTATACAATTCAACGAGTTCATTGTTCTTCCGTCTCATTTATCTCCTCAGGGATTGTTCCACCTCGTCTAACACACTATATGCTGTGATATTACCGTTATTTCTAAGTCATTAACTCTTTGTCTTGAGAAATATATATATATTTCTATTTGTAAGCTGCAGGTTTATTTATTACAACCAAAGTTTTGCAGAAATTGAAGATGTAATTGTCACAAATTGATGCCACCTTTAATACAATAATTGAAGTATTCTTGTTTCTTGATAAATATGGTGAACAAAAGCTGAAAAAAGAAAGACATGGTCAAGGCATTAAATGAGGCTTCTCCTCGGGAAAAATCTCCATCTTACATCCCAAGGACTCGATTTAGTTATTAACTCTGCTTTCTTCTTTAAAATTTAGACATTTGATTATTACTGCCTTCATCTGCTACAATTGTAGGAATTTTAATTCAGAGTTTCATTTTTAATGATCCCTACTGACCTTGGCTTATGGTACTGTTGAATGTGCAGAAGAAATGGACCTGGATAGGAATGGAAAAGTAAGCTTCAGGGAATTTCTATTTGTATTCATTAAATGGGTCAGGATCTACTCCGATGATGATGGTCCTGAGATACAAAATTAAGACGAGTGCAGGATGGCAAAGAAATGCAACTGGGAAACTATCTGGAGGTTTGACTTATGCATTAAACATTTAATTGTATATAAATACTGTAGTGCAATTGTAGTGTCTATCTTCTGTAATTTGTTTGTCTGTGTGTACCGTAATATCTTCACATTTATCTATGTTACTTATATCAGTTAGGTTGATTTAAAAGTTCACCTTTAGTGCTTAAATTTGTCATGTTTTTATGAAAAAATGTTTCACAGCTTTGCTCGCTCGCTAACATTATATTCATCCAAGAGAAGTTGATGTCCTGAATACTCTTCACTATCAAGAACACTTGAATTACAGACATGGAAGATTAACTTTGCCTTTAACCGCAAGTCCTCTGCTATGTATGCACAAATATAACATTGTATTCATAACTCGTACAAAATCATTGTGAGCCTAGAACCTGGACCAACACTTAAATTACAGAAATGGATGAATAACTTTGCCTTTCCTAAATTTCACTGCACAAATATACACACAACTTCTGTATGACTCATTATTCATTGTATACCAAGAGCTTGAATTCTTCTGATGAGACACAAAGAAGGAGCATTTCTTTGTTTCCATTCTTCTTCTCTTTCCTTCTTCTGATTGATTTCCTTGAACCACTGATCATAACCGTCCAGTATGCTTACTATCTGCCTCATGCTTGGTCTTAATTCTGGGTTCAAACGTGTGCATGCCATTCCTAATTTCACCAGCCTTACCAGTTCACTATTGCTGTATTGTCCATTTAACCTCCGGTCCACGATATCTTCACATGGCCTTTTCTGTGCCTCAAATTTATGTAATCTTTTTACTAATAGCACCTCAGGCTGCCGGAAGTCAACTGCCATCTGTCCACTGACCACCTCGAGCAGCACAACTCCAAAGCTATAAACATCAGCCATTGTGGTTGCTTCGCCAGAGTCCATATATTCTGGCGACATGTAACCAAAAATCCCACGAACTGATTTGTTTTTGTCGACAGCTATGTGATGGCCATGTTCATTTCTTGTCAAGAACTCGGCAAGAGCAAAAGAACCAAGTCTCGGGTTCAAGTCTGGATCTAGAATGACAGCAGACGATGTGATATTTCTGTGAATCACCTGCTCATCCCATTCCTCATGCAGATAGTAAATAGCAGAGGCAAGTGATTTGATTATGTTGTATCGTTGCTGCCAACGCAATATTGAATGCCTGTTTCTTTGATCATGATGGAAAAGGATGTGACTCAAGAGACGGTTTGCCGAGTAATCATACACGACAAGCATCTCTCCTTGCTCGGTGCACCATCCACGTAGCTGTACCAGGTTCCGGTGGCGGAGTCTTTTTAAATTTTGGAATTCGTTTGAGAATCTCAGCCGCAATGCAGGGCATGTTCTCATGCCTAGCCTCTTCACTAAAACATGGTGACTGTCAAGAAACCCATGGTAAGCAGTTCCAAAGTCGACTTCAGCTACTCTTTGTGATTCTGAGAAATTGTTTGTGGCAGAAATGATCTCGTCATAGGTTATTACTCTTGGAGTTTCAACCATAGGAAAGGTATTTTGTTGGTGACACCTTTTAAAGGAAGAGCTGACATTGCTTGTCTCGGATTCAGCAGTTAAATAAATGGTTTCCCCATTGGCTGTGACAAAATTTGACGAGAAGAATGCCTGTTTTGTGCTTATGGTGCTAGAAGAATGTGTTGTTGTCATGTTGCTTGTGCTACTGTTGGTTGGGGATGTCAGGGAGATGTAGAGAGGGTGGGATTGGAATGATGGAAGGTCTGGTAATTTACCATAAATATTGCCAGAAACAGCTTCCAAAATCCATTTCATGCTCGGTCGGGATTGGGGCTCGTGAAGTGTGCACATAAGCGCAAGGTGTATTAGACGTTCCATATCAGCAAGCTTGTAGGATCCATCCGGGAGTCGATTATCCCCTGCTTGCAGAAGTGTCCCCTCATCAGAGAGCCTTCTGATCCAATCAAGCAAGATGATTTGATCATCAGGGTATGTGAGATCGACTGCTCGTCTTCCTGAAATGATCTCCAACACCACAATTCCGAAGCTGAATACATCAGATTTGGCAGTGGCAATGCTTCGTTTCTGAAGGCTCTCTGGCGGCAGGTAGCCGATAGTTCCACCAATTCTGGTGGTTTCAGCTAGCCGAAATTGTCGGTTCTTTAATCTATATGGTGTCTTGGGTTTGTACTCAACCTCATGCTCTAGCCACCTAGCCAAGCCAAAGTCGCCAAGGCGAGCATTAAAATGGGAATCGAGCATAACATTGCTCGTCTTCACATCCCGATGTATTATCTGAGTCTCCAATTGTTCATGGAGATAATTCAGCGCAGCTGCCAAGCCATAGACTATCTTCTTCCTTCGCTCCCAATGAAGTAGTACTGAATCCACGTTCTCTTGCCTTCGAAATAGTACTCTGTCAAGACTCCGATTGGGCATGTAATCATAGACGAGAAATAACTGGTCATCATGGACACACCATCCTCTCAGCTTTACAAGATTCCGGTGGCGGAGATGAGCCACAGCCACCAACTCTGCCATGAATGATTTCTTGAAGTGTTCCCCTTTCTCTGCCAAGCATTTCACAGCAACCACCGTCCCATCGCTAGGTAAAACTGCTCGAAAAACTCGACCGAATCCTCCACTCCCAAGCACTTCATTCTCACTGAATCCATTAGAAGCTATATACAATTCAGAGTAGCTGAATATCCTCGGATTCTCACCGCAAAACTTCTCAGATACCTGCACACCTTCCGTGTCATAGAATCGTTTCTTTGGCACTTCTTGGTAACAGAAACTCACCCATTTCAACAACTGATGAAAGAAATCAAGCACCGGAGCGCCACAGGGGCGATTCTTTGGCTCTTTTGTTGATCTTTTATGAACCTTCTTGTGATCAACGACTTTGATTTCATCAAATTCTGCAGGTAAAATGAAGCAAAAGTTTTTTAAATGCATGATGGCTATTGTAAACTGAATCAAATTAGATAATCATGGCAGAAAAGAGGGGTTGTATAGTATTGATTACAAGAGAAAGTTCTGAAAATTGAATTATATAGAAGCGTATATATTTGTTTATGCTTTTTGGAGTGCTTTTATTCAAACGTGGTTAGGTTGCATGGTTGAATTGTATGGCATGAAAGATGAAACTTCCAACCAGAAACCTCCCTCTCTCCCCTTGATGTATCCATTTAGTAACTTTTTTAACAAGTAGATACAAAATATGATACGCGCGCGCGCGCATGCGCATGTATAGAACCTTCATAAAGCTGTTGTTCACACTTGATTTGGAGGGGGGGTGGTTATTCTGGTTTTGATATTATTTTTATTGCTCTTTTATTCCATTCTTGATTCTTCTTTAGTTTATATCATTGTTTCGTTTACTTTATATGTGGGGGTAAGTGGGTAACTTTGATTGACTTCTCTGGTCATAGGTTGCTTACGAGGAGGAAATTTCATTGGAGGTCACTCCACTTACGGGTTTGTTTCATGTTAGTCATCCAACTTCAAAGTATTTCAATTTTTATCAAATTCACTTATATTTTTATTTCAATTTAACCGTTCCATCTATATCCATTATAAAAACCAACGGAATTCTTAACCTAGAAGATGGAGTTTTTGACTTGGTGGATAACATGTGTTAGTAATGCAGACGTCACTCGCCATATGGAAGACACAATTTTAAAAACATATTGGGAATTGATACTATAGATTTAGCACCTACAATTTAGTGACACCTAGAGACGGAATAGACTAATTGAGACGAAAATATAAATAGAACGATCAAATCGAAACAAATTGAGGCCGGATGACCAACATGAAATGAGCTTGTAAATTAAGTGACTTATAGTGAAATTTCGCGAAATGTTTAAAGACGCGTTAACTACACGAAAAAGACAAATTCATTCAGCTCTCTCTCTCTCTCTCTCTCTCTCTCTCTCTCTCATGATCATAAAGTTGTATCACGGCGTAATCCTTTTGAACATGTCATTTGAAGATAATTTCAAAGAGGTAATTCCGGTCTTATTTTTTTGCAATGATATACTTGACTTTCTCTGCACGTAACAAATTTATTTTTATCGAAGATTAGATCCATGAAATTTTCGTTGATTGCCGACGATAGACGTTGAACTTGAGATTTTTGTATGCGATAATATCATGTTTAATCAATTTGACAAAAATGGATGAAGCAAAGTCAATAAATGATGATCTCACACGTAACATCAGTCATTGACGTGAAATATGTACAATTTTAATGAAATAAATAATGATCTTTCATTGATTTTCGTAGTCTGGACGATGAAATCAAACGGAATCGTCAGATTGAAATCAAATTAAAGTGTAATTACTTAACTGAACAAAATTGAAGTACGATTACTTAATTAACATTAGAGTAAAGCGCGTAATTTACACACAACTGTATTTCTTCATCAACTCCTGAGTGAGTAGTTTTCTAACCTCTAGTGATGACATCATGATTGTTTGTTGCATAATTTTAAATTTATTCATATATTGGATTGGGATAACTTTTGACTTTCTTCGAACTTCTACAAACACTATATTATAAATTTTTGGAAGAATATTTTGTAAATTTCCATGGTGGTTGAAAATTTGATGCATAGAATTGAATTGAGGTAAGAACATTAATTGTCTTTCGTGACCTCACATCATGGAAAAATAGAAGATTGTGGAAATATAAAAGCATTAAATTGACATTTATTGATAGATAGAAAAATGGCATGCCCAAATTTGCTTTATTATATTCCCTCCATCCCAATTATACAGGAAGTGTTTCCTTTTTTTCTTGTCCCAAATATATAGACATGTTTCCTACTGTAAAATATTTTGTTGTATTCATTTACCAATATACCCTTATTAAATTTTCACAACTTAATATGTCAACTTCTTGAAATCATCCAAATACACACATTTCCCACTTATTGGAAACATGGAACAACTCTAATTTTTCTTCTTCTTCTTCTTCTTCTTCAAATTTTTTATTCGTTCCAACAATAATTTAGTTTTATATACTGAAAATTAAATAGGGGTAAACGAGGAAAGATATTGGCAAAAATTAATTTTCCAATGACATTAAAAAAACTTTCTTAATCCATGTGAAAAATGAAACAAGTCTATATAATTAGGACGGAAGGAATATCTATAAATTCAAAGAAAATGGGTTTTTGATTAAAAATTTAAAGAGGTTGTTGGAGCTTAAGGGTGGGGTCACGGAGCCAATGTTAGTGTCATACGGATCATGATATAGGAAAAGAATTTAATGGTGGTGGTTTAATCAAATAGGATAAGATTAAGCGGTAGGAAAGTATATATTCACAAAAAGACTAAATTATTGGGCTAAAAGCAAATCATTATCAAGATTTCAACATGTTGTTGTTGGAGTTGGGTTGCCTACTTGTTACTTTCTGTCTTCAATGCTTTCACTTCCATCTTTTCTTTTTTCCTTCTTCCCTTTTTTCTTATGTCGTTTCCAAAGAAATAAAAAGGATCGTGCTATTTTTACAATCTCGGTTGACAACCACTCACACATGGAATGGGTGGACGGATAGTTTTTTATTTTTTTCAAAACACATTGGGACCCCCATTGTGAGAGGTTGTCAACCGAAGTTATATTAGTGGTGTTTCCCAAATAAAAATGACAAAACAAGTAATATCGTTATGATGATATCGAGATTGTGTGAAACCTAAATTATGAATATATTTATGAGAACTAACATACTTCGTTCAATCCACTAAGCTATTTTATTTTTTAAATGAATCCCGAGCTTCAAAGTTGTCTTAACAAAATTACAGCTCTAACAAATAGAATGTTTCGACAACAATCTCTATCATAATCGGTCAAAAACTCGTTTATCATTGTGTGAAGATAATTCCAATCTAAACTAAATCACGATAATCTATATTGCCTCTCAATAAGAAGAGATTGTACCATTGTTCTCTCTGTGAGAGAGAGAGAGAGAGAGAGAGAGTAGAATTCGTTATTCCTCGTGGTTACATTTTTTTCTAACAATCGTTCATGTATACATATAGATTTTTTTTTTCCCATCAATAAAGAGGTCTAACTGCTACTTATTCTAAGCAAGTTTCAACTTTAGTCCAAGTGTTAGGTCGCCTAGATTTGGTACTTAAACAGGAAAGAAATTTAGGCTTTCAAGAACTGAGTTTGGAGTTGGCAATTTATGTTCAAAGAGTAGTTTTAACTCAGTTCAAATTCCAAGAGATGACATTAGTAGTTTGACATTTAATAGAATTGAGAAATGTAAACTAATCAAAGGATTTATTAATTTATTTCAAGGTTGTATCAAAATTCTTCAATCTCGAGCTACTTTATTATATAATATGCGAAATTCGACGTTGTTTTCGAGAAGCTGGGCAGAAGGAAAAAAGGCTCCTACTACCTTGGATTGGCCAACAAATCCATGTTGAAACTTCCTAGTAGTTGAAATTTGAAGGGGAAAATTGAAAATTTCAGAAGTTCTGGGTGGTTGATTTTGACAATTTCTTTTCTTTCTAGAAACAAAATCAAACCTATATTTATGTTCCCACGTGTGGGAAGAATTGAATTTAGAAATTAGAATTCCAATGTCACGTGTTATCCAAGCTTGTCAATTATTATTATTATTATTATTATTATTTTTTGAACTCTTCAAAGTTTTAAAAGATAAGACCAACCCCATGGTCCATGTTGCTCTTTTATTGATTATTATGAATTCAGCTTTTTCTTATGATAAATTTGACATGTCAAATTAGACAACGTTGAACAATATAATAGATGCGATTTAATTATAGACGAAGAACTAAATTATAAAATAGTGTTGAACTCAATAGTATTGCAAAAATTTAGAAATTCTAATACAAGCTAAATAAATTATGGATTATGTCACTTTTACGTAAAAATGGTATATAAAGTACTAAAAAAATTGAGGCGGAGAGAAGAGATTGCATGAAAAAATTGACTGTGTTTTAAATTGGCGAATGATAAACTGTGACATTATCTAATCCCCTATGTAAACTTTTATGTACATGTAGCAGGATCCTTAAATTATTATCCTAACCTCTTTACGAGAATTGGATTTGTTCAAGCTGATTAATTAATGCTGCATAAATAAAATAAATTGATTTTTCAAACTAGGGTGGCTGTTCAAAACCAATATGTTGTCATGTTATGGATTTAACAATTTAGTACAAATTGTATAAATTAAAATTATACAAGTAGGTAGAGAAAGAAATATATTATATAGTCTGCCTAGGCTTTTATTCAATTTTCTCAATTTTTTTATTTTTAGTAATTGGGCCGCCCCTTAAAACCTTAATGTTCTGGCCCTTACCCAAATCCAAGCCCAAATAAAAATTGATTCATTGAAAATTAGGGGTACTTACACAAATATTTTGGGATCATTTTGAAAAAAAAAAAATGATAAAGTTGGATTAAATGACAAATAGTTAAAACTGAAAGTATTTCTTACGCTCATTTTGAAGAAACTAAAGCAGGATTTAACCACTTGTCGGCCACCTTCGACTTCATGTGGGCCGTGAGACCGTGTTTGGAATGTGCAACATGGTTCCTCTATTCCCCGATCCATCATACTTACAAAAAAATAGTCTGAAGAAAATCATAAAATGTTAGATTTCACGTTTCTCACATTTAGTCGTTATCTGATTTAATAATGTAATGTTTGAACAATTTGAAATGATAACATTATTTTCGATTTAAGGTTACAGACAAATGTTATCTTCATTTCTGCGGACAAATTAGTATTCACGTGATCTTCCAAATGTGTTTGAATATATTTAGAGCATGTTTGGGAGAAATTTTTGTGGGATTTTAATCAAAATTATAGCCGTTATAATCAACCTGTGGGCCCCACCTGTAAGAGGGAAAGTAAAAAATGATGACTGATTTGATAGTTAACGGCTAGAATTTTGATTAAAATTTGATTAAAATTTCTCCCAAATAGGGCCTTAATTAATACATTCAAGGTGTGTGAGAAAATAAGAATGTGAAAAAGTGTCATTCTGTTATTTTTTAATGAAAAAATCGCAGCATTTTATTGGAACAATTAATTAGATGCATACGTGTCTAGATTTGAAAATTAAAATATATGAATTCAAACATTGTTTTAATCTTGCATTTAATTCATATTTCATCGAATCAATTCAATTAATGGATCCATGGTGTTTGCAAGAATGAGAATATGCAAAAATAAATGACATTGTGTTACCTTTTTTTTCCATAAAAAAGTCGCATTATCTCATTAAATAAATTAATGAAAACATACGTGTGTGTTTTTTGAAATTTAAATATATGAATTCTAACATTTTTTAATCTTGCATTTAATTCATATATTTTTTTAATCAATTCAATTGATGCATTCATGGTGTATGTGAAAATGTGTCATTCTATCACTTTTCTATAAAAAAAAAAGTGACAATATGTCACTTTTCTTTGAAATAGTCAAAATATCTCGTTGAAGCAATTAATTAGATTCATACGTCTGTTTTTTTTTTTTTTTAAATTTAAATATGCGAATTCAACCTTGTTTTAATCTTGCATTCAATTCATATTTTTTTGAATTAATTCAATTGATGCATCCAAAATGTTTGTAAAAATGAGAATTTGGAAAAGTGACGTTCTTTTGAAAAAGTCGAAATATCTTATTGGAGCAATTAACTAGATGTATATGTGCGCATGTTTGAAAATTTACAGCATCACATGGAACAATTAACTAGATGCATATATATACGTTTTTGAAAATTTAAATATACGAATTCAAATATTATTTTACATTAAAAAGTGACATGATGTAACACTTTATTTGTGTTTTTGCATATGATCGAGTTATAGTGCTGGAAATTAAAAGTGACATACTATCATTTCTTTAAAAAAAAGTCTCACAATTTCTTAGTAATTTTTTTGCAGATATGAATAAAATTGAATCACCTTCGACAAACACTCAAATAAGTGACAAACACTCAAAAAGTGTCATACACTCAAGAAAGTGACACAAATTTTAAAAAATGACGAAAAAAGTGACAAAACATGGATAAAAACTTATTGTCCATTTGTCTTTGTTTAGGATAGTTAGAAATATAAATAAAGCTACCACATATACTATTTTTATTGAAAGTGCAAACTATTATCCAACACCACATAAAATTAAACAAACCTTAACTGCCTAAGATTTTCAGCCTTCGAGTGGCCTGTCTTAGAGAAACAACATTGCGTTTTAGATTTTCATCTGATAACCAAGGGAAAGAGATGGCATCTCACACAAGGGTTGATTCTACGTTGAGGTGCTCAGTTAGGTTTGGGTTTTAGTTAGTAGTTTAGGACGTAATAATTACCTGTTTAAAAAGAATATATATGAATAATTTTATTTATTTATTTATTTATGAAATTATGTATATAATGTGAAAATTGTTGAATAAACTAAAATGTAATATTTTTTGTCAACGTCCCACAACTTTTCTTCATTTTATTTTCTACTATTGCAAAGACTTTTGTTATTTGTATTGAAACTCCTCGAAAAAAGTGCGATAAGTTATAAGAAATGAAGTCTTCAATTTCCTCTATCTCAGTTTTCGTTGTGAGGATGAAATTGCACTAAGGGTTGATTACTCTTATTTTTCCATTACGAAGTTGGTATTTTTTTCCTTTCTCAAGTATGGAAAATAACTTTTTGATTGCGTCCTTAAGTAACGTAGTTTGGATTTTACTTCTCTGAAAAAATTATAAAAAAATAACCTATTAAACTAACAGTGAAACTTATATAAGAAAAGTATTGACCAATTCTGGCATCATACAAAATTAGTTTTAAAATTTCAATAGGTTGTTCTTGTTGATGTAGATCTCAATGGAACCTTTTTGAAGTATGTATATTTTTATAATCCACTTCAAATGCAGATAGTTATCTTATAAAGAAATTCAACACACCCATATTAGCTTCAAAACTCACCTCTACGATGGAGTGAACAATGGAGAGATATATTATTCTCTTCGTACCACAAAAATAAACTTGTTTATACTTTTGCATAAATTAAGAAATTTAATTAATATAGTTAGAATAATGATTTTTTAATTTATATATTTTTAATATATTTCTATATTGTATAATTACAAGTAGTTCATATTGATTGATAACCACATGCAGGGGCGGAGGCAGGGGGGGTCCT